GGTGGGGGAGGGGGGGAGGACAATAGGTCAGCCCCCCCTTATTGTAATTTACGTCTTTTTTTTTTCAACAGTGAGCAGCCACAGGCTGCTCACTGTTTAGTAGACATGCCCCTACTCGCGGTATAGTGAGTAGGGGCATTTGGGAGATTTAAATCTCTCTTGTGCTATTATGGGGGTCATATTGACCCCCATAGAGTGAGAGGGGGTACTGGGGGCTTATGAAGTGGTGGGGAGCACTGCTCCCTGCCACTTCTATAGTTACATATTACAAGGAGGGAGCTGCACGCCGGTAGCTCCCTCCTTGTAATAAACTGCACGAACAAACATACACTGATACTCAGATACACTGATACATTGTGTTTGTTTGTTCAGCTGATCTTTCTATTCACTCATTCGTCTGTCTGATGAGTGAATGAATAGATGAAATTCCCGTTCGCATGTCCAGGTGTTTCACTGGGCATGTGCGGGAATCTCAGTGTCTGCCTAGTGTGGGCTGATGACGTGTCCCACAGGGACTTCACCTACCCACACAAAGATGGTGGCGCCCTGAATCAAGATCGGGGCAGAAAATAAGGATTAAAAAATAGGTAATGTGGGGGGCTTAGGGGCATTTGGGGGTGACTAGTGGGTCAATTGGATGTAGTGGAGGCGGGAGGGGGGTTAAAAAAAAAACGGGTTTCGGCATGACAGTGCCGCTTTAATTGTGATTTCTGTAGATAAATCATTATGGTGCTTAGAGAATCCCAAATAGAGATACTGTGTACAACATAAACACTATAGAATAAGGTCTGCAAAGAAAAATTACAATGAATCCAATGTTTTAAAATCTTATGTCGCAACAAGAAAGCAGGATAAGAATTTTCAGGGGGTTCCAGCATGCTCTCCTGAGGTTTAGTGGAACGCATTGTAAAACCACAGTCTAGAATAACTCACCGTAAACAAGTTCTATATCTCTTCTACTTACTAAAATCCCCTTTTTTTTATGCTTTCTTTTTAAAAGTACAGATACACCAGCAATGCCTTAACATCTAATGCCAGCACAGTGGTGTCAATCTAATAATAACAGTGGCATGACATTAGATTTTCAGCGTAGGTTTTGAGAAATAATAATAGACAAGTATAACAAACATGTCAGAAGATTAAACTTAGATTAAGAGAGATGTAAATAGACATGTGAGGTAATTATCTGCAATAAAAACCCACTGCTTCTCCCAGCAAGATATTGATTTAGTACCATGTTGTGTAAAGCGAAGGATACGGTTAGGCATTGCAAAGGGAGAGAGTAATTGTAGCGGAGAGGTAGTATAATCCACAGTATCTCCGCTGGGTAACAGGAACAGCATAGAATTCTTCAAGCAAAATGAGTACAGCATTCAATAAACCTGATAGCGTTATATAAATCCTTCCTTCCCAAGAACTAGACGACACATAGGCTGGGAGTCAACTGAGCTTTTAATCACAGGTCACAGTATTTATGCAGTTCCCCATGTAAGGGGTTTCCCTACTGACATTACAGGGGTTGTACAGTAGGGGACTACATGGGGAACTTAACAACCCGGACATTTCTCCCATCATGCACTGCTGCACGAGAGCGATACTCCCACTAAAATAGCAAGTTAAGTGGATTATCCCTCCGTGCAGCAGAACTAACATTTCACACAAAAATGCACAACTTCTACATTATTCATGTTATTTTACCGAATGACCGTTCGGTAGATAGCTGGTGTCTGAGCACACCTTTTGTGAAAGTACCGCTCAGTTCCCAGTCTAAATAACCGAACGCCGCACGAAAACACGTATTATTTTACATTCACCTCAAAGTACTCAATGCATATAGGGGAACAAACTACCGAATGACCGGCACTCCCGAACGGCCTGGAAGTCCAGCAGTATTCATGCCGTCGAGTAGCCGATTTCAGTTCCAACACTCAGAGAAGATTTGTAAATGCACCAGCTTTAGCCCCAGCAATATGTTTATTTGTTGATAATATTGGGCAAGAAGGGATCCATTTGACCATTTTCTTCCCTTTTTACCCCATAAGAAAATGTGTTACTTCAGTTTAATTCAACAAACAAAATACAAGGATAAGCAAAGGTCTGAAAGATAAATATCAAGATAAGAAAGAATTAGAAAATGTAGACAAACTCACTAAGTGTAGCTCTGTACCAAGTGTCAAATAATGGCCATAATTTATACTTATTGTCACTGCTTCATGAATGACTGCGCAGAACGGCCAATATCTTACAGAATCAAGCTAGGTACAAGCTTGCAATGACAAAAAGGCACAGACAAGGTCCTGCATCTTGGCACTGGCACATGTTTGACATTATGGCCTTGACTTATTCCATTTGGATACGCTTTTCAAATGATCCCAGTCTGTTAGAAACAAATGTCAAATGATTCACCTACATAAAATCCCATAGACATTAATGTTGACATCTGTAGATAAATAATTTGAAAAGCTTCTCTAACAGTTTGTGATCAAACCTATCCAAAAATATTAAATTGAGGCCGGATTGTGATCACTCAAAAAGCTTATCCAAAAGAATTAAATCGAGGCCTATGTTTATCATATTATGTCCAAAAATAAAAACAGTTTTAAAGGTGGCTGGTTAGGAAGACACCTTCATACTACTTATATACACTTGGGCTAACACATGGTCTAAACCTGTGTGACAACTCAATCAGATCAGAAGCAGCTCAAATAAGATGGAAAAAATATATACTCCCAAAACGTGCAATAAAGTCTAAAATCCAAAAACTTTATTTTCTTCAGTTGAAATTTCGTCTGGGAGTCTGGGACTGTACGGCAGGGGCTGAAGCCACAACCACGATGACTCTTACATGTTTTGTGCCTGATGAACACTTTATCAGAGACGACCAGAGTGGAATCTATACACATCAAAAACAGTTAATTACATTTTTCCAACATGAGGCTAATTGGAGAAGGCATTGTCCACGTGTGTGGAACTGATTCTCTTGGGTTTGGAGCTCTGATTTCAATGTTGCTGATCCTCTTCAACAGACTGCCTTTTCCAGATTTGCCTGAGCTCCAATAACCTTGATTCTACAAGCCATGTTATCAGTGCCAACTCTCTTCAGATGTGTCTGGTCAGGTGTCTGGCTCTTGGCCGATGTAAGCCACTTCCTGTCTCTGTTTCATGCCAGATTATTGTGGTTCCCGTGACTCTCTAATCAAGCTTGTTCCTCTTTGTTCAACGTTGCTGAATTTGGACCATCTGACCTTGCACTTCTCCTTCCCACTGACCTCAGCTTGCCTTACTATGATACCATCTTTCTGTCTCAGTCTCTCATCTCTGCTTAAGACTACGTAACCACTCAAGGCTCAACGGTTACGTCTGGCAGAAAACCTTGCTAATCTGGCTGCTGGATCCCAAAACCTGTATAACATCAGTATAATTACACCATGTTTATTTAGGAGAAACTCAGGGACTACCTTCCACCAATATAGAAAATAATAATACAATCTTGTCAGGATTTAAAACATTATTTGCATTAAATATATTTATGACAATTATATATTTCATTTCATAACCACTTCATATAACAGTGTCACATTGCAATCTGATTCAGAAGATTAATGTATCAAATATCCCATGATGTATCTACAGTGTGACCCCACTGGGAATGTCACCCCACTGGGGAATTCTCATTGATTGGGGATACTTTATTGGAGAACAATTAACTCATGTATCTAAGAAGATCTACAAATTCCTAGTGGATGTCCAATTATTATTTATATAGAAACATATACAAAGTGCTTGCATCTCATTTCTTTTTGCTTGTATTACTCCATGTTAGTCTAGGAATGAATATGACTGTGATATGATTATGACTCTGAGTTACATCCGTTTTAGAATATAACTAGTCTGTCAGTTAAACCACATGTAGAATATAACTAGTAACTATGTTAGATCACATGTAGAATATAACTAGTAACTATGTTAGATCACATGTAGAATATAAGTAGTCTCTACATTAGAACACGTGTAGAATATAGCCAGTTTCTCTGTTAGATGACATGTAGTATATAACCATTCTCAGGTAGACCACCTGTGGAATATAAAATGTCTCTCCATTGTAGCCGGCATGGGTCCTCTGATCGAGCTGCACACGGCTTGAACACTCCTGGCAGGCTGTGCGTGCTGAACAATCTGATCTGGCGCGCGGCCCGTACAGTATTGGGAACGCTGCTCGCATTGTGAGCATGTTCCTAAAGGGGAAATGGGAGCTGAATATTGCAGTCGACTCCCAGTGGCCAACGTCATTCCAGCGCCTCCATTCACGCACATTTTGGGGTGCAGGCATGACGTGGACCAATTAAATTAACAATAAGCATATTTAAACCTACCTGGCCCTAGATTCTGTGCCCTATTGTGGTTTCTGTTCCCGGTATCCTTTAGAGCGTTCCTTGTGTTATTGTATTGTATTCTGGTATTGACCTTGGCTTTGTTTCCTGAGTTTCTATTTAACCCTTGCCTGTCTTGTTTGCCCTTCTGATTATTACCATGTGCCTGACTTTGGCTAGTTCTTGTTTTCGCTGTCTCTCAGTTACCCTGACCTCGGCTTGTATTTTGACTACGCTTTACTCTGTCTAACGTTAAGTCCGGCCACTGTAAGGCCCGGTGAGATGTTTATATTTCCTTAGTCCATTCCTTGCGATCCTATACTCTGCGTGTTATGGTTGTACTCCGTGGCACTGAGTTAGACCCGTTGTAAAATACAACTAGTCTCTCAGTTAGACTGCATGTGGAATATAAATAATCTCTCAGTTAGACTTTGCTAAGTCTAACAGCATCTAGCAAAATAAAGTACCTACAAAACTTTGTATCTATGTGTTATTACCAGTTCTGTGGTGTGACATGAGTGTATCAATAGTTAAATATGAAATTTGCGACTATTTACAAAAGAAGATGTTAAGACAACACACATAATAAACAGAATTAAATATCTGTAAATCGAAAAATACATTCACTTGGAAATGGTATCAATATTTGTCTAAAATCACTGCATTATGAGAGTGGGATTTATGACTCCATGTACAATAAGTTTCACACATTAATTTACACACACTACAAGTAAATTAAACAACACAAGAGCGCCATCTGTGGGTCAATAGGTCTTTGCACTCCTGACTCAATATACAAGAAATCTCTCTCTCTCTCTTTATTGCCTGAGCTTCCATGTGTTAAATTCACTCCGAAGATAATATATGACCGATAACCTAGCTGTTGTCATAATGGGTGATAATTAAACTGATCCTTGGTACAATCTCATGCTGACAATGCATTTGACTTCGGATGGCTGTTTGAATAAAGTTGCATTCAATTAATTTACCCCAAAGTTTCTACAGATTCTATTACATTGAAAAATAGGCCAGGAAAAGCATGAATAAATAATGCAGACATTACTTACATGAATCCAGGTTAAAAGAATAATATAATGTGTTGCTCGACACAGCAGCTTTTGCACTGGAAGGTTACATTCCATTGGAAAAAAAATGTACAAAATAATTTCATGTATTTTATGCTTGGTACGAGAAGTAACATTTTACTATGAGTCCTATTCTATGGAATAATAAATACCACAGTTTCACAATCACCAAAATGATACATTCGTACTCCATCCCTGTTCACGAAAAGATAACAAAGAAAATAAGTCATTTAGTTAAAAGGACACTCCACTGCCCAAATAAATTTTTTTTAAAATCACTGCTTAGTATATATAGCCCTTATGAAAATACTCATGCATTTAATTTAAAATTTTTACATTGGGGATATATCTAAAAATTGCGTTCAAAAGCTGCAGCTCTCTTGTCTGCAGCCTTTGTAAGATCTGCCCTTCTGACACCGCCCAGACTTTCGGTGACTGTCCAATCACAGACTTCCCAATGCAGCTCAGTGAGAAGTCCTGGTACTCTGGGCAATTGCTGCCTCTTGAGTTTATCTCCACTGAACGAACGAAACCAGGAAGTAACAAGACCGGTTATTTGATAGAGAGCCAGGGGGTGTCACAAGATTATTTTATAAAAATAAGGGTGCTGCAGTGTCTCTTTAAACAGAAATTATTTTCAGATAACCAATTTTTTTCTGTCCAAATGTCAGCGTTTCAACTTGTTAGAGTCATTGTGGAGCCTGCTTTTAGTAGACGACTCAAGTACTTACCAAGAAAAAGTGCTACTTTTGACCAACCAGTTACGTGTGAATGTCAGGAGACAAATTTGCAAACTTTTCACCTGCTCTTAAATCAAGCAGGATTCAATGTGAAAGACAACTACTAATAGACAGCTTGGTTTACTAACTGTCACTACATTATTACATAATACAGATTAAGAAACAGCGGACACATAAAAATAAATTTTTACATTTCTAAATCTCAGAAAAAAAATATGGGGATTCAGTTCCACCAGTTCCACCTTATTTAAATACACTTCAGCTTTTTTAGCACTTGCACTATTTGATTTGTCTCCCACGTTGGAATTAGTGTAGGACCCACCAATATTAGTCTACTGTGGAGTAGTAATGGGCATAACACACTGTGGCCAGATGGTGAAACGGAATCCTCATTCCTCATATTTGTTTGCAGAGATAGGGGATTTTAGGGAGCCTTATAGAATTTAGAAATGTCTTTATGAGTGTTCCTTAATCTGTATTATGGCACCTGGACTTTGTGTTAAGATGACCAACTGTTCTCCATTATGGTAGCTCCTACTCTGCCTGCTATTTAACTATTTATGATTATTATTATTTATCAGTTTTAAAAAAGTGGTTAATAAAGTTTTTTTAATCATTCATGAACTTACATTTGGACACAAATCTCTAACAAATGTGTGGATTACAACTTTATGTGTAACAGACATGGTCTAAATCCCTTGAACTATATTAGTGCATTAGTGACTGACTTCACTGTTTCGTCATTGCCAATAGAACACTGAATACAACTACACATCAAAGGCAAAATATAGGGCTTGAATAAGAACTCCCACCTATAATGAATGTAAACTTATTCATGATGTGTTGATTTCTTTCAAATTTATGATAAGGATTTAGCAAATGACATCATAATCGAGTTCAGACAAGGAAAACCTAGTGAGACATTGAAAATGAAGACGAGAAATAGAAGCATTGTTTATGGATAATGTCTAACAATTCTAACAATGAATGACACGGAGCCCAGTTCGAGGTGACCAGTTTCGGAATAAAGAGTTGCAGATTTCTATATTTAATTAGATTTTTTATTAAAGGACCACTATAGGCACCCAGACCACTTCAGCTTAATGAAGTGGTCTGGGTGCCAGGTCCAGCTAGGGTTAACCCATTTTTTTTATAAACATAGCAGTTTCAGAGAAACTGCTATGTTTATTAATGGGTTAAGCCTTCCCCTAATCCTCTAGTGGCTGTCTCATTGACAGCCACTAGAGGCGCTGCGGCTTCTCACTGTGATTTTCACAGTGAGAGCATGCCAGCGTCCATAGGAAAGCATTGTAAATGCTTTCCTATGCGACCGGCTGAATGCGCGCGCAGCTCTTGCCGCGCGTGCGCATTCAGCTGACGGGGCGGAACGGAGGAGGAGAGAAGGAGGAGAGCTCCCCGCCCAGCACTGGAAAAAGGTAAGTTTAAACCCCTTTCCACTTTCCAGAGCCGGGCGGGAGGAGGTCCCTGAGGGTTGGGGGCACCCTCAAGGCACTATAGTGCCAGGAAAACTAGTATGTTTTCCTGGCACTATAGTGGTCCTTTAAGGTACATTTCTCAGTATGTACCATTGGGTAATAAATACAAAAGAAACAAATTGAAACCAATGTGACTTAGTGGAAAAGTGAATCAAGAAATTAAAAATAAGAAAAGGGCATTTAAAGCCTTTAAATTAAACAAATCAGAAGCATCCTATAAAAGTTATAAGGAAACCAATAATGTATAAAAAAAGGCAATTAGATTAGTTAAACTACAAAATGAGAAAGTGATAGCCAATGAGAGCAAAACCAATCCCAAAGCATTTTTTAAGTACATGAATTCTAAAAAAAAATAAAAAAATGAAAGTGGAGGTACATTAAAAACCAGTATGGGGGCATTAGTTAATGAAGACCAGGAAAAGGCAGAAATTTTAATTAACTATGTCTCCTCAGTATATAATAAGGAAAAACCTCTGGATATAGATATTCAACTGATTGCTGCAAAAAACTTGCAGAAAACAATGTAATTGGATGACTCAAGACAAGGTGCTTCAGCAATTAAAGAAAGTTAATGTAAACAAAGTTCCAGGGCCTGACAGTATTCATCCATGAGTACTTAAGGTACTAAGTGTGGAAATAAGTGAACCACTGTTTTTAATCTTTCAAGATTCTCTTCATTCAGGAATTGTATCGGAGGATTGGAGGGAGGCAGATGGGGTTCCTGAAATGGCACCCGGGGCATTAAAGGGGTTAAACGCTGTTTAGAGGATAATCACCTTCCAGATACACAGGCAGCTACCAAAGACACCAATCTGCCGAACAGGAAACCATTTGAATGCCGTAAACAGCAGAACCGGAACCATATGAATGCCGTAAACAGCCGAATAGGAAAAACCATACGAATAGATTTACACTCCTAGCAGTCGAACTGGGACAGCATACAATAAATCCCCCCCAAGAACGAGACAAGGCTCCGTGTTGAGGGTCAAGCAGCGAACAGCCAGAGCTGTGGGTTTATTGTTCTTATGTACACATTAGTACCACCCACAGGGTTTTGGAAAACAACCAATAAACACGTACAATACACTCAGACACTCCCACACAAAATCCTCCCCTCTGCCTGTGATACAATTACCTTACACAATGGGTAATGTATTTATCACAGGCAGAGAAATACAGTTTTTTCCCCACATTATTTATAACTTTAAAAGTATGCATCACATTCAAATAAAACATTTTCAGAATCAGCATACTCCAAATACAAACATACGTCAAAATCATACAAATTGGTCCAGTGGTTCAAAAGATAGATTGTAGTCCTTTGTGACCAAATGAAGCATGGCTTTTCTGCCCAAAACCAGTTCCACAGAGTCTTCTATCCTGGAGATAATTGGGAAGTAATCCAATTATCTCCAAGGACAGAGGCAAAACTCCATTGAACACATGGCAGCAAAAGACAATAAAATACATAAAAATATATAACTGTGCAGCCATTGCATAAAACAGGTACATTCAACATATCCCCAGATAGCTCAGATCTGAGCGCACATTATTACTGAATGGCGCTCAGATCACACACATACAGTTCAATTGCCATGGAGCCAAAGTCTTTCCCATAGTCTTTCATTATATGAATGGGCTCCATGGCATAGCTATCTGGGGTATCACCACTCAAACAGGGCA